TTTGACACAACTCTAACATACTCCACCTTGACGAATATTCTTCATCACCTTGAATTCATTCATGCTTCGAACCTCCATGTACATTGGACTTTGAGATACGCCATGAGCACCGCTGCTACTCCCAGACTCCCTGTGACTCCACCTGCAACTGTAGTCCCTTCTTGTCTTCTTCACAGTCAACACTCGAGCAAAATTAAGTTCCTCATTACTCTACTTTGTGCTCCCAACTTTCGGGGTATCCGTTCAACGCCATCGCACACCGACCAATGTCTGCTGAAAGTGAACAACTCACGTATTGAACGCCACATATAAGAGTTACCTGAACTCAACATCACCGCTCTTTGTTGACCATCTGTCTAAAATTTGAAGGAATTTCACCGTCACTCTGTGTCACCCCGAGTCTAATTCGCAGTTGTCTCACCCTTCTTACGGATAGTCTCTAGCATGTCCCACGGCTGTAGCACTCCGCCTCCTTCTGTACTTGTCATCCGCACTTTGCCATGTGCACCGAACACCACAGAATATACGGCCATGTACTCTCTCAGCTTTTGACCATTTCAGACGTTCCGCCACTTTCTTAGATTCTCCATGGTCAACTCCTGTCCATCAACCGGCACCGATAGACTCAATCACCAACTTAAATCCGGTACTCGTCAACACTGCTTTAGCACCCCCTGCACAACCAGTGCCTTGGCATGTCGTTGTGTCCCGTACTTACCGCACGCCTCGCCGCTATCACCGCGTCGAGCCTCTGCTGTCCTGGTCGAGTCTCCCGGGTAGCTAGCCCCCACTGCCTCAAACCCCACTGCAGAGAACCATCGATCATCGCCGACCGATGCCGAGTATCTCTCCATCAGACCATTGGGCCCCAATCTGATCAACGTGTCTCTCGCTATCCCGCTGAAATAGGCTTCGACTCTCTGAATTCTTACGCCGTAGCCCCTCCATCAGCTCAGAGTGTAGTCATCCATCAGACTCCAGCTCCACCTTCAACATGACTCCATGTAGCTGGCCACGCTACCCCGCGCCCTGTCGACTTCAAGCTCCCTTGTGTGCACCATCTTGAATCAACACTGCGCCTTAGTCCGTCGAAGCCGCACAAGCCCTCAGGTCTGCACCATGTGTTTCCACGCCCCAGAAGTCGGCCACCATCAGCATCACGCTTCTATGTCGTCGTCGTTGAAATCAACTGTCGTCTCCTGCTTTGACTGACATCCCCGTCGATCCGTCAGACAGTCCAATCCGACCCAGCCAAAACTATCCGACTGCACCCATGCTCCACCCTGCGTCCCGTCCGTCTGCACATCTTCGTGCATTGCTTTGACGCCCTGTGTATGCATGATCCTTTGTGACACAGTTTAGGCTCCTCTAAACCTTATGCGTCCGCCTTGCCACACACACTCCAAGCACTTCATGCAAACTTGACCCACCAGAAAAAATCTCCAAGCTAACTTGATCCAAGGATACTTTCTGCATAATTTTTCTTCTCGCCGTTTGCTAGTAACTTATGTGTACGCGTAGACTTTTGTGCAGAACTTGTCCCCTGATAGCCCTCCGTGTATCTTAGCATAACAAGACCAAACATGATCCACACCAATGCTCCTGTACACCGTGCATGTATCTGGGACTTGCTCTTCCTATTTTTTCCTTAACAAATCCAACGTGCATGCACAACACCGCACGGCTCCTTTGCCTCTGCGCAGAGCAACGCCCCGAGCCTGTGCGTCCTTGCTACGGCCTGCCTTGAGCCAGCCAGCCGCGTGCCCTGCGCCTAGCGGGCCTACCGCTTGGGCCGCCTTGCACGCCAGCACTCGTGCGAGGGCCTCCAGGTTCCACGCACGTTGATCAGCCAGCGTTCCGTGCCGCTTTCGCCAAGGACTCCTGTTGCTACACGTTGCCATGCCGACTGTTTCCGATTGCTTCAATTCCGTCGAAAAACCACCGCTCTCTTGATTGCATCCGATTGATTTTGTTGACCACACCGCAGTTCTCCAATGAATCGGCAGCAGACTTGTCTTGACTGTCCTGCTGTCTACTTGACCAATCTGCTATCAAACACCGAGCCACCAATTCCGTTGCTGCTTCCGCTGTTCACACGACTCGCAGCCGCAACCACCTTTGACCTTTCTCTAGATCAGACCCGTGACCTCCAAATAACCTAGCTCATAATATCACTTGTTAAAATAAATCCGAGTCGCTGCGTCGATCTACCGAGGACCAAGCAATCACATAAGCACGACAACGAGATTTGTTAATGAGGTTCACCGATAGGCTACATCCCCGGGGCATGATTACGGACGCTCCTCCCCATGACACCGCTACAATACCGCACCCGGTCGCCCTGGACGCCGGCACAGGCCGCCAGCTTCCCCTGCGTTCCGGTGCTATTATGTTGGCATAGGTTACATCTTGTGTCTACCCTCGCTATATAAGAGAGGCCTAGGATATAAGTGTCCTACTTGAACCCGACTCCATATCCTATCTACACACCGTACAACTCAGAGTCCAACTGTAACCTACCTTGTACAATAATATTCGACACAATTCTAACAAGAACCTCTAGAAAGACTTATATTTGGGAACAGAGGGAGTAGAAGGCATCCCTTCCGTAGGTTCCTTAAAAAAAATTATTGTTGTGCTTGGTGTATAAATACATACATAAGAACTATGCAGATAAAATATAATAAATTTCTATAAACATAAATCTCTTATGCAGGCTCGGATGCACCAAAGTAAACATTGACCTTTTAGATGAAATTATGTTGTGTTTGTACCCTGCCACAGGAATATAGATATTAATTAGGTGATGATGATCTAATGACGTGTTATTTTCTCTTGTGAGGTGGAACAAGGGATCCATAATTAATGTGTTACCATCCGTTTCTTAGTTTCAGAATTTTTTTGCTGTTATGTTGTTTTTGTTTTTGACGTGCAACGAAAGAACAAAAACCATTTGAGCTCAATTAAACATCAAGGAGCGGGTTGTACGCCCTGCAAAGTATGTTTGCCCGCTGAACTCATAACACGGGCATGCGAGAGAGAGATAGCTTTCTTGAAAGAAGAAGAAAAAAGAGGAGAGAGAGAGAGAGAGAGAGATGATAAGCCCGATAGCGAGTGATCGATGTAAGAGGAAGGCTGAGAGTGGACCTTTTATGTTAGGTCCAACCATTACATACTCCTACCAGTTATACTAATCCTCTCAACATGTCGGTGAAACATTAGTTACTAGTCCCTGCATCCGAAACTAGTGAAGTACGTAGTATCTTTTTTGTCTCCTGCTAACTACTTCTACAAGTCTATAAATGGAGACACAGAGATGAGTTTTGTCTCCAAATCGACCCATTCATAACATCTTTCAGCTCGAACTTGCACTTCAGGCCCCTGCAAACTTGTCCACTCCGCCACCGCGCGTTCTGATTTGTAGGTGGAAGCAGAAACACGAGGATCAGTAGTACTTGAGCAACATTGATATATGATGGATGGTGCTTGCACGGAGAAAATACTCCCTCCGTCTAGGTGAATAAGTCATCTTAGGTTGTGCACCGTGATCAAGAAGGAGGGGAAAACGAGAGAACTTAATGTTCATTTGCTAATTAATAGCATTGCATGCAATGAACTAACCACTGCATGTCGTGTTTGCTAGTCTTAAGTCATTAAAAGTATGCACACCACATATCTCTTATTGGTTGATATGTCAAGAAACAAGAAACGAGGTAGAATTTAATGTACCGCGCCTAAGTGTTTTGGGAATATTTGGTTTTCGTAAGATGACTTACACACCTAGACGGAGGGAGTATTAGAAATGGGATGCATAGGGAATTTAAGCTAATCCTGAAGATGTTCGCGTCGTGGCATCGCGATGGTTCAGGAGAGATGGCCATTATGGCCGGGGCATGAATGTTGCCACTTGTAGAGTTCATACCTGGCAAGACGTAGCGACAAAGTGTATGAATTCTGCCTTGTAGTGACTTCGATTTTTAGGGAACTGCTGGCTCATCTTTTCGGCAATCTCTGCTTGAGCATCGGCAGATTTGCTAGAGAAACCAACTGTTTTTTTAATGCTACGTAGAATGTGTATGTTTTTTGCACGCAAATGTAGTGCAGGTTTAATTTTTTTTTCACATTGATCCCAAATGTATTCGTTGCACTGTCATGATTGAAGATGAATAGATCGAAAATTTTCTCGCAAAAAAAAAAGGTTTGAGAAAACCAACTAGTACATGCATGAGCGGCTCTATCCGAGGCCAGGAGCCGCTCACTGTCGCTGGCGCTAAAAACAGAGGCGGCCACACGGAACGGGCCACAGAGCGCGTGATTCTGGCCAGGGGAGACAAGATGGTCCCTGATCTCATCTCTGACCTCACATCGTGCGGCTGCGGCTGCTACGAGCCTTCACGGCAGTGGTGGGAGTGAGGGGGGAATCGAATCGTGCTTTTCTCACCGAAAAAGACGTCCAGGTTCAACGTACCCACACGAACCGGGGTCAATCCACCCGTCGCACCTGCGCATCTCGGCCGCCTCCCTCCGAATAAACAAGCCCAGCGCTCGACGGCCACGGGCGAGCTTCCCACCAGCCACCGCCAGGTGGGGTCGAGACCTTCGAGACCCACTTGTCACTCGATGGTCTGGACGTGTGGCCGCCACAGACAGTCGTCAGGCGTGATGCTCGCCGCCAGTGGCCGCAGCTGATCCCGTCTTCCCCTCCCGACCCGCGTGAGCCACGCGCATGCACCGGCAGCCCCGTCGGCCCGCCTGTCAGTGCGTGCCTACTTTGCATAACTTGTCCGGTCTACGGTGCACGGCGTGCACGGGAATACATTCCCATTACTTATCCGGCGTGGGCCAGGGCGGTCGTGCCCACCCCCATAAAGCCCCCGCGGCCCGCCTTCTCGGCCCCTCGACCGTCCGAAGCGCCCCGCAGCAGCAAAAATCTATCGCTCGCTCGCCCGCCCGCACTGACACTCCTCGCCCCGCATCTCCGACCGGTCCCTGCTCCGGCGATGTCGGCGGCCGTGGGCGGCGCCGAGTTCCACGGCTTCGGCGGGGAGGCGCAGCTCCCGCGGTCGCGGATGCTCGGCAGGCCCGTCAGGGTGGCGCCGCCCGGGGCGACGCCGGCTGGCGGCGGCGGCCCCTCGGCGGCCAGCATTCGCGCCGTCTCCACGGTGAGTCCTGCGGTGTTGTGGGATGCTGGGCGCTTTCGGGTTTAGGGTTTCTTCGTTTCTGCGGGGGAGATTAATCGGGTTCGGGCGTCAGGAATGGAATCAGATTTTTAAGGACAAATTTAAGTCTAGTGAAATTGATGCGCCTTTTAAACAAAAATTGATGCGATTAGATGTCGGTATAATAATACGTCTAACCCATGGATTTGGGTGTGAAAAGAAATCAGTCCCCCTGTCCAGTGTTGATTTCAACATTCCCATCGCCCAGGCGAACACTGACCGACTAGCTATGTCATTCATTGGAAATAAATCCATTTTAAATAGACGTATAAAATGGCTTTCTTAGTCACTTACCCCTGTAATGTTTATAGTATACTGATAGTTGTTCAATAGAAAATACTGCTATGCAATGATACACGTCTACTATGCTGTCTGATGCTCTGAATTCTGAAACCTTTCGCCGTTCCTGCAGCCTCTGAAGAAGGATGCAAAAGAAGTTAAGCGAAGCAAGGTGGAGATAATCAAGGAGAAGAGCAATTTCCTTCGGTACCCGCTGAACGAGGAGCTGGTCTCGGAGGCTCCCAATGTCAACGAGACTGCCGTCCAGCTGATCAAGTTCCACGGAAGCTACCAGCAGAGCGACCGAGAAGTTCGTGGGCAGAAGAACTACTCGTTCATGCTCCGGACAAAGAATCCTTCCGGAAAAGTTCCAAACCAGACTTACTTGGCCATGGATACACTGGCCGATGAGTTCGGGATCGGAACGCTCCGTCTGACAACCAGGCAAACATTTCAGCTGCACGGCGTTCTTAAGAAGAACTTGAAGCATGTCATCAGCACTGTGATAAAGAATATGGGATCAACCTTAGGTGCCTGTGGAGACCTCAACAGGAATGTGCTTGCGCCTGCAGCGCCATATGCGAGAAAAGATATCCTTTTTGCTCAAGAAACAGCAGAGAATATTGCGGCACTTCTTGCGCCACAGTCGGGGGCTTATTATGACCTGTGGGTGGATGGAGAGAAGATAATGTCAGCGGAAGAGCCTCCGGAGGTCACAAAAGCCCGGAATGACAACTCACATGGAACAAACTTCCCTGATTCCCCTGAACCAATCTACGGGACCCAATATCTGCCCAGGAAGTTCAAGATTGCGGTCACAGTTGCTGGTGATAACTCTGTTGATATTCTGACCAATGACATCGGTGTTGTTGTTGTTTCAGATAGTGCAGGGGAGCCCGTTGGCTTTAACCTCTATGTAAGCGCCCAAGAAAATTCTGCTCCATTTTGTACTGCATTTGGCAATGCCTACCTTTTTGATTTATCCCTTGACATCTGACTATCCCTATTTTTCAGGTTGGAGGTGGCATGGGAAGGACACACCGAATAGAGACCACATTCCCTCGTCTGGCTGATCCACTTGGTTATGTTCCTAAGGAGGATATATTATATGCTATAAAGGCGATAGTTGTTACACAGAGGGAAAATGGAAGAAGAGATGACCGCAGGTATAGCAGACTGAAGTATCTGCTTGACAGCTGGGGAATTGACAAGTTTCGGGCCGAAGCTGAAAAATACTATGGGAAGAAGTTTGAAGATTTCCGCCCATTGCCGGAATGGCAGTTCAACAGCTACCTTGGGTGGCAGGAGCAGGTATAACTCCCATCATAATGTATCTTAGTCAAGCTGTGGCAAAGAAATTTTGGAAAGAAATAATTTACCTTGTGTAAGGAGGGCCTGGTAATATTTTCATACAAAATTTCTGTTCATCATTTTTAATCTAGTTTACTTCCTCAGTGCTTCCAATTTTGAGTTGGCCTGCATACTTATTTATTCTCTTGCTGTAGTCTGCATAAGAGCGTTTGATAGATCCTGACATATCTATCATATGCTTGTTCATTCACAACATTTATATATCAATTGGTTATTTCTTGAATTGGGATTTTCATTTATTTTTCTCTGTTTTGTCAATTGCAGGGTGATGGTAAATTATTCTATGGAGTGCATGTTGATAATGGTCGTCTTGGAGGGCAGGCAAAGAAAACTCTGCGAGAGATAATTGAGAAGTATAACTTGGATGTTAGCATTACTCCAAACCAAAACCTTATCTTATGTGGCGTTGATCAGGCATGGAGAGAACCCATAACTGCAGCTCTTGCTCAAGCTGGCCTGTTGGTAAGATTTCTTTTGTCCATTTGATATCCCTGCCCTGTGATGTGGAATATACACCTTTTTAGCTGATATTAGGTCCCTAAAAATTATTCTATCTTGAAATTCTCTCCTTGCTGCATCTGCTGTTCCAATTGATAATGTTGATCTTATTGTTACTCTTCCCTGTATACTGTTTCTTTCTTCTCACACTGAAAATTTGAATGCAAGGCTGGCTACTAAAAATAATAATGAACAAGTGCAACGCTTTCCTATATGAATTGTCTGCAGACTGCATTGCAAGTAAACATCGAGTTCATTTTGTCCCCACTAAAAGTTGTGTGTATTTATGTATGTAGGAACCAAAGGATGTTGATCTCCTGAACATAACCTCCATGGCATGCCCTGCCTTACCTCTGTGCCCTCTAGCACAAACAGAAGCTGAACGAGGGATCCTGCCAATTCTTAAACGAATTAGAGCAGTTTTTGACAAGGTATTCATCTGTCGTCCTGTCAATTATCAGTTTAACACTCGAGAATAGGCTTGTGCGTAGTCTGTACCTGTCTTAGTGTCTTGTTAGTTGATAATTGAGATAATGTTCCCTGCTAAACAGGTTGGTATCAAGGACGAGGAGTCTGTAGTGGTGAGGATAACTGGCTGCCCTAATGGATGCGCCAGACCATATATGGCCGAGGTTGGCTTCGTTGGTGACGGCCCAAACAGCTACCAGGTACAACAGTGCTGAAATATTCTGGCATTATTAATGCAAACAATGATACTTCCTTTTTTGTTCACATTCATAATTTGGTTTGCGTATTTTATTTTTACCAATCGAGCTTTTCTTTATTGTGACCGTAGATATGGCTTGGAGGAACACCAAACCAGACCACCTTGGCAGAGACGTTTATGAATAAAGTGAAGCTTCAAGATATTGAGAAAGTTTTGGAACCACTGTTTTCCTATTGGAATAGCACGCGCCAGGAAGGCGAATCCTTTGGAAGCTTCACAAACCGAATGGTGAGTGGATTCTATTTTTCCATCAGATATTGTTGCAGTTTTGTGATTTGTGAACGAGTCGTTTGGACCTCAGAGAAAATGGTCATTTGTTGTTAGGTCCCAAATGTTCTTCCATGCTCGGCACCATTCTTCTTGTCTGAGGCGGCTACAGAATTGTTTTTTTTTCGAAAAAATAAATAAATCTGTAGCCACTAATAAAAACACTTGCTGCGGTGCTTTGGTTATGCAAGAAGTGGCTTTTTTAGTTTTTACTAACCGTCATATCCATCTCTTTTATTTCAGGGATTTGAGCAACTGAAGGAGGTGGTGAACAAGTGGGAGGGGTCAGCGTCAGCCGCATGAGAGTTGTCTTTGCTGGACAAATCCCAGCACCATTTTTGCTGGGGTGAGAATCTGGTGGCGACCAATTACTCCACGGATTACTTTTATATAAAAACTTAGGAGAGGAGGAGGAAACCTGTCAATTCCGTTGACAGGCGGAGGACGAAGAAAGAGCCGGGTCTGAAGAAGTTGCTCCTTTGTGTTTGTTGTGAGGTTTTATTTTTTTGTGTGTACTTGTATGGATAACTCCGTTGGCCCCTTTGTTTAGCCTGAGAATAAATTCCTTGCAAAAAAAAAAAATACTACTTGATAATATAATAAATTTGTCCAAGGCAGGGGTGCTTTTGGTATTGTTCGGGACATTGGAAAGTTTTTTTTTTCTTTTTGATGAGGTTTCGGCACAATGGAAAGTGGGATCAGGTTGTTAACTTTTGGGACTTTTCTGCTCTAGATCTTTTTGTTGGTGGGCTTCATGAAACACCAGCCTGCTCGTTTTTTTTTTGCTTCAGAGCCCACTTCCTCGGCTCCGTCGGGACACTCGGACAGATGACAGTTAGAGCATGACAGTTGCCGCTTTGGCTCGCTGTATCCCAGCAGCGCGCTCGAAAGCTGCGACGCGGGCGAAAAGGCCGAGCCCGGCGAGCTCACCGTGCATGCCACTGCGCGCAGCGCATGTCGGCGTGCGAGCGTCGGCATAATGCGAGCGTCGCCCTTTTTACCCGACTACGTGCGGGGGCGAGAAACCGCGAGCTTCCAGTGAGTCGGTCGGGCTCACCTCGGCTCCGCAAAGGCTCAAAAAGCCGGCCCAGCCTCGGTGGCGGCAGAAAGCGCCGCGGCACGCCGGCCACGCACGCATCGGGGACGGGGTCGCCGCGCACGCCCCCATCGTTCCCGGCCACCAGCACCAGATCCGCCGCGATCTCCCCGTACAGGTACACCGCAAAAGCGAGCCCGATGGAGAAACGTTCCAGCGCAAAGGCCAGGCAGTACAGTAGTATACCAGTATAGTACAGTACAGGTGCTCCAGTCCGGTACACCATCGCACCGTGGCTGGCGGCGGTGTGCTCCCGCGTGGGCACCAGCGCGGCGTGCGGTTCGCCGTGCTCTGCTAAAATAATCGGGGGTGGCGACAACGGCGAGCGGCTGACAGGCGGCGGGGTGCGATGGTGGGCACGCACCCCAACGTCGCTGGACACCAGAGTGGCCAGTGGGCGCGCGCGCGCGCACGGCGGAGAAGGGAGAGTGGCGCGAAAAAGGTGGCGGGCGGCCCCGGCCCCGGCCCGCGTGCTCTGCCGCTGCCGTCCCCGGCCACGGCCACGCCCCCACACGCGCCGCTGTCCCTCCTATGAATCTGAAACACCGGAGCAAGCACATGTTCTGCCTGCAGATCGGCGCATTTGTTCGACTAGACGTCGCTCGTGTCCTGTGCATAGCATAACGCCCGGTCCTCGCCGATCGGCAGTTCACAGCGGGCATTGAATACGCAGGCACGGATCGGCCCGTTGACATACACCGGACGTGCCTTGGGCGTGCAATGCAGAGCGGTTGAGCCGAGCCATTGAATGCCCCGGCGAACTCATCGTGATGGACCATGCCATGCAACGAGGAAGAAACGGCCATGGTCCATCCATGGGTAGGATAGGATCGGATCGGATCCCCCAACATAAGTGGCAACTCCGGCTTTGCACAAGAAAGATCGGAGCGCAGTTAATGTACTAGGAAGTAGGAAGGGAAGAGGAATCAATGCAGTTCATTACAGAGATACCCTGGCTAGCTTAGCTTGGATTAGCTACAGTCTACAGGACAGATTACACCGGACACCAAACAAACTAGTTGTACAGATGCGTACACCAGAGAGCTGGGGCTAATCTCTTCCCCGGGATACAAAATTCCAGCCCGAGAAGAAGTTGCCAGCGAGATTACATTCACCGAAACAGCACGGCTTCTAAATCTGGTTACTCCTAACTGTGACAATGGAGCACTGATTACTTACTGACGGACTCACGGGAGGATGAATGTTACAGGAAGATGAAGCATTCCATGGACACCAGCGGGTTCTCCAGGGACTCCTTCCCCTCGCCTTCACCGTCACCGGCCGCGCCGTCGCTGGCTGGGGGAGTATCCGTATACTCCTGCTCCGGTGCCTGCGGTGCCGGCGGCGACGCACAGTGCGTAGGAGGACCGTGCGGGTGCGGCTTCGCCGCCACCGGTGGCTGGGGAGGCGCCTCCTGTGTACGTGGCGGCGTCGGAGCGCGGCCGCACGGCCTCGCGGGCACGGGCGGCTTCCGCTGCGCGCACGGGGCCGAGCCGGCAGCGTCGCGGCGCTGGTCCTGCGCCCGCTTCGCGGCGGGCGACGGCGACCTGCGCCCGGGGTCGCGCCGCGGGGGCGGAGGCGACGGTGACGCGCGCCCGCGCCCGCCAGGGACGGCGGCGCCGTGGTCTCGGTCCCGCCTGGCGCGCCTGGGCTCGCCACCGGGCGCGGCCCTTCCCTGCCGGCACCTGGGCGGCTTGGACGGGGAGCGCTCGGGCCCGGCCACCGTGGTCGCGGCCGACGACTCGGACGCCGCCTCCGACTTCTCCTCGACGGAGCGCGCGGGCCTGCTGACCCTGCCGCCGACGCCATGCCCGTCCTTCGCCCTGGCGGTGCCGCCATCCTTGGCCCTGGCCTTCTCCGCCGACGGCGCCACCACAGCGCCACCGGCCACGCGCCTGGGCCTGGGCCGCGGCTTGACGCGCGGCGTCTCCGAGAGCACCTCCTTGACCTTCTCCTCCTCGGGCGGCGGCAGGTCCCGGGCCTCGACGGCCTTCCTCCCATCGGCCGCGCCCGGCGGCTCGCCGCGCTTCTTGCTGACGCAGCAGCCCATGCCCGCACCGTCCTTCCCGCTTCTACCAGGCTTCTAGCCGAGCTTAGCTTAGCTAGCTATGCGGCCATGGCTGGTCTGATGGTGGTGAGCAGGAGGGAGGGAGGGACAGACAGGGGGGAGTGGGAGAGCGAGCGGAGAGGACAGTGAGTGGCTTTGGGTTTCCCTCCGTTGTGCTTTGATTTGTGTGAGCCGAGGAGGCCTTGGCTGTGCTGCGGCAGTGTGGTGGGAGACCGGGAGTCAAAAGGGCTCAGCTACTGTGAGCTCTAATTAAGCTGCGTTTATCTGAGAGTTGAGCTTATAATACTGATCAGGGGTCATGTTCTTGCTCACTGGAAAGTGGTATTCACGACCTGTCCTTTTTTCACTGTAACATGGCAAAACTTGGTCGTGCACAGAAAGAAGGACAGCACATTGTAACATGGCTATGTCTGTAGGGAAAAAGTCCATTTTAAACCTTGATTTCTTAGGTGTTCGGCAAATCAAACCCTAAAGTTGAAATCCCTGTTGTTCTCACTCTAAACTAATGAATCCTGGTCCAAATCAAACCTTAGTGCCGTTTTGGCCCAAAAAACGTTGACGTGGCCAGTGTCAACCGGGATTGCTCTGAGTGGTGGGCCAGGTTATAACTGCAATGCGCGAGGGCGAACAACAAATGGATTGGGGATTTGGGGGAAGAAACGAGGGCTAGGCGACGGCGGAGGCGGAGGCGATTCCTGAGCGGGCCGGCGACGGAGGCGATCTCGCAGGGGGCGGCGGCGGCTCCGTCCAAGGCAATGTCGTGGTCTTCGGGTCGTTCTCAGGCTCGCAGCTTCCGTCGACCTCCGAAGGAGAGGGGACGAATCGAGGTCGCTGGTGCCCTACCGGGAGAGCCCGATGGCGTACGAGCCGGAGAAGCTCTGCTGGTGCAGGCCGCGTCGGAAGGCGCCGAGATGGATCTTGTGGAGCCGTCAGAACCCAGGCAGGAGGTACTACGCCTGCATGGATGCCATGGTGAGCTTCATTTTGTTCTATTTTTCTGTTCATTAGTTCTTCTCCCTTCTCAATGATTTCTGTTGGTACAATTGAACAACATGGTGGTTGTGGCTTTGTTGAATGGTACGATGATCCTCTACCAAAGTTCTTGAGTGATTTGATTGGAGATTTGCGAGATGAAGTGCGTAGACTGAGAGGAGAAGGAAGTGTTGTTGTGTTTGAAGATCCCACTGCAGTTGTGGCTCTGCCTGCAGCTCAAAGAGGAAGAGAGGTGGTGGCTATGTATCTGGAAGATCAACTCGAGGAGAAAAATGCAGGGATAGATGCACTGAAGGGGAAATATCAGAATGTTGTCTTGCTTTTTCTTGTCTTTGTGGTAGGTTTAGTGGCAGGGAAGATGCTCCTGCAGTAAGCTTGTTTAGTGCTACCTGTATGCAATGTAATACTGGTTAGTGGTTTAGACTCAAGTGATCTTTTGGCACTAGAGATGCAAGTTGTAAGCCATGTTTAAATTTGTGACCTGGAAGTTGTATGCATGCAATGTTTAGCCTGAATTGAGTGGAAGTTATGTTCTTGCCATCAATTGCAGTCATGAAAAGTTGCATAATGCATATAAGCACTAAAATGTGTGCTGTCAAAATTGTAATAAAATAGCAAGATCATGCAGACAACAGTGAAAATAGGAAGATAATGCATATAAGTTTGCAATCTTTGCTGGCAAATTTGTACCACTGAAATTCTACTAAGACCACTCAAATGCAAACTTCAGGATAGCATTGTGAAGCTAAACATAGATAAGAAAGAAATGCAACTGATGATAGAAAGGTCATCCAGACCAAATTAAATCCACATAAACTAGGTTTGAAACAAGTCATAGACCCACATATACAGTTTGAGCCATGAAAAAAATATATGTTTGCAACATTACATCACAAATGTTTTGGAACATTGCAACATCAGCAAAAGTACTAGATGCAGCCCTTCTTCTTCCCCTATTTTCAGCTATGACTAGTAGTTTCCACTACAAGTGAAATACTGGAAGCTAAGCACTGATGATGCAACCCTTCTTCTTCCCCTCTTAGCTCCTGAGCCAGTCCTTCTAGAAGTAGATGCTCCTGGTTGTGTAAGGGCAGTAGATGATCCAGCTTCAGCAGTTGCAGTTCTCTTTCTTGGAGGCTTAAACCTGTTGGAACTTGTACCAGCAGAAGTAGGGGTGGGCATTTAAACCGAAAACCGAAGAACCAAACCGAAAGAACCGGGACCGGAGCCGAATAGACCTGAACCGAAAAAACTGATGCTAAATTCGGTCAGCAGTTGTAGAAAACCGAAATTGATTCGGCTAGTTCGATTGTAACCAACGCATACCCGAAAGTACCGAGCAACCGAGAAAAATCAGGAAGAGGCAATCTCCACATATCAGGCCCATAGCCCACTAGTCCATTTACCATGTGCACGTGTCCATCAAGGGCCTTCACGTTTTCTCTAGAAAAATGTAGGCCTTCACGTGGCTAGCCCTTGAGCCTTGAGTCCTAGCCACCAGCCGCCAGCTAGACCACGAGGTCGAGGTGATGCTCGTCGCCGCCACCGCTCCTACTTGATCCCGATGACTAGCGCCATGCATCTTCGCCCTCTTCCTCCCTCCACTTCAAATCTCCACCGGCTCTCTATCCCAGCCGGCCAACATCACGCCCGATGACCTGCATCTACAGACCGTAGGATCTCATCTTTGCGAGCGAGTGGCCGGCTAACCTGTCTCCCGAGATGTAACTGCAGTTGTTGGGGAACATAGTAATTTCAAAAAAATTCCTACGCACATGCAAGATCATGGTGATGCATAGCAACTTGAGGTGAAAGTGTTGTCCCTGTACCCTCACAGACCGAAAGCGGAAGCGCTAGAACAAAGTGGTTGATGTAGTCGTACGTCTTCACGGCCCGACCGATCAAGCACCGAAACTACGGCACCTCCGAGTTCTAGCACACGTTCAGCTCGATGACGTCCCTCGAACTCCAATCCAGCTGAGTGTCGAGGGAGAGTTCCGTCAGCACGACGGCGTGGTGACGATCTTGATGTTCTACCATCGCAGGGCTTCGCCTAAGCACTGCTACAATATTATCGAGGAAGACTATGGTGGAGGGGGGCACCGCACACCGCTAAGAGATCAAGAGATCAATTGTTGTGTCTAGAGGTGCCCTCCTGCCCCCGTATATAAAGGAGCAAGGGGGGAGGGGCGGCCAGCCAAGGAGGGGGCACGCCATGGGGAGTCCTACTCCCACCGGGAGTAGGACTCCCTCCTTTCCTTGTTGGACTTGGAGAAGGGGGGAAAGAGGAGGGAGAGAGAGGAAGGAAAGGGGGGCGCCGCCCCCCTCTCCTTGTCCTATTCGGACTAGGGGGAGGGGCGCGCGGCCCAGCCCTGGCCGCCTCTCCTCTTCTCCACTAAGGCCCACTATGGCCCATTAAGCCCTCGGGGGGTTCCGGTAACCCCTCGGTACTCCGGTAAAATCCCAATTTCACCCGGAACACTTCCGATATACAAATATAGGCTTCCAATATATCAATCTTCATGTCTCGATCATTTCGAGACTCCTCGTCATGTCCGTAATCACATCCGGGACTCCGAACAACCTTCGGTACATCAAAACTCATAAACTCATAATATAACTGTCATTGAAACCTTAAGCGTGCGGACCATACGGGTTCGAGAACTATGTAGACATGAACGAGACACATTTCCGGTAAATAACCAATAGCGGAACCTGGATGCTCATATTGGCTCCTACATATTCTACGAAGATCTTTATCGGTCAAACCGCATAACAACATACGTTGTTCCCTTTGTCATCGGTATGTTACTTGCCCGAGATTCGATCGTCGGTATCTCAATACCTAGTTCAATCTCATTACCGGCAAGTCTCTTTCCTCGTTGTGTAATGCATCATTCCGTAACTAACTCATTAGCTACATTGCTTGCAAGGCTTATAGTGATGTGCATTACCGAGAGGGCCCATAGATACCTCTCCGACAATCGGAGTGACAAAACCTAATCTCGAAATACGCCAACTCAACATGTACCTTTGGAGACACCTGTAGAGCTCCTTTATAATCACCCAGTTATGTTGTGATGTTTGGTAGCACACAAAGTGTTCCTTCGGTAAACGGGAGTTGCATAATCTCATAGTTGTAGGAACATGTATAAGTCATGAAGAAAGCAATAGCAACATACTAAACGATCAAGTGCTAAGCTAATGGAATGGGTCAAGTCAATCACATCATTCTCCTAATGATGTGATCCCGTTAATCAAATGACAATTCATGTCTATGGTTAGGAAACATAACCATCTTTGGTTAATGAGCTAGTCAAGTAGAGGCATACTAGTGACATTAAGTTTGTCTATGTATTCACACATGTATCATGTTTCCGGTTAATACAATTCTAGCATGAATAATAAACATTTATCATGATATAAGGAAATTAATAATAACTTTATTATTGCCTCTAGGGCATATTTCCTTCAGCAGTTGCATCTCTCCCATCCCTTCTATCAGATGTGTATTTCTGGTTTTTTGTTGATAAGTTTTTGTTTCCGTCAACACTGGTGCATGTCTTCCTCCCATGCGTGTTTGTTTACTTTGTGATCGGTGTATTCAGTCAGTAACTAAGTACCGAACCGAAACATTGGTGCACCGAATCATCGGTTAGCAGCAATTTAGAAGACCGATTGGTCACTATTTTCTGAGAACCGATATTAGTAGTAAACCGAGAAACCAAACCGAATGGTTCGGTCTAACCGAATGCCTAGCCCTAAGCAGAAGGGTTTGGTGGTACTGAACTAGTTGTTGTTGGTGGAGCTTGGGGTTGAGATGCAGAGGCAGAAGCACTTCCTTTTGCTTGCTGCAAATTTAGGATAAGTATCAACAAAAGAGTAATAACGGGGATAAATATGGAATAAGTAGATGAGCCAGAAAATACCTCAGGTAGTTTGGGCAAGATGTGCATTCTTTTTCTTGCCTCTCTCTGGATTTTGTTTAC